TGAAATATAGTTTCCTTTTCGATGCTTGTTGCGGAATATTTTATTGTTTCTTTTGCGTTCTTCAACTTTTTCCCCAACATTATATTATACTGCACACGTGCCATATCATGAAGTCACATAAGCGTATAATCGCAATTTCAAATGAAAATTAAACAAAGCCAACATTCTAGGTCTCTGTCTAGAAGCTACAATTCAAACAATGCTTACATGTTAACATCCTGTCAATGCGCTACTGGAGAATATACATCACATCTTGTCATGTACTAACAAACACAATTCTAATGTGTCCATTTTAAATGTAGTTTGTGAAACTCTTAAACAATTTCGATTTTATATAGGTACATGTTTCCAAAACATGAAGACTATGTATTTCTCATTTTAACAGAAATTGGCATTGCTGGAAATCCATTGTACACACCACGCCCACGCCCACGCCCAAGAGATGAACTATATTTTCTGCTCGTTCCTACTTTCCATTCCTAACAAACACTGATCGAAGAACATGTATTTGATTCCAGAGTGGATGCATTATGTACATACTGGTGAAACAAATTATGTACAAGTGTCTCCAGTACTTGCTCTGTACAAGTGCCGCATGTACTTACAGATAAAACCACCTCTTACGAGGGTCTCATGTACTTACTGATAAAATTACCTCTGTACAAGTGTCTCATGTACTTACTGATAAAATTACCTCTGCACAATTGTCTCATGTACTTACTGATAAAACTACATCTGAACCAGTCTCAAGGCATCAGTCTGTGTGGATGTCGAAATGGGATGTGAAGCTACAGTAACGGCATCAAAATACCAAAGTCTAATAAATCAAGCTTCCATTTATTTTTTGGGAGATGTAATATAAAATCGTAATTTAAGCCTACCGCCTGCTAGAGATGGTGTCGTGTTTTCAATCTCAAGACAATAGACTGTAACCGATGCAAAGTCCACCTGAACTTAGGGTTATTACTTCTTTTGGAAACGAATGATGCATGGAAGCCGACGGCTAGCTACTAATTCCAATATACAGGACTGATGAAATATTGTACATGTTATTCGTCTATGATCTAGAGATGTGTGTGTGTGTTTTGCGTTAAGCATCATCTTTCGTTAAGATTGTGGAAACAACCCGTTTTACACTAGTCGTGCAGTCATGTACTGCATTTTGTCGGTAAGTTCAAAGTCTAATTAGCACAATTATCTATTTGATAGGCTGCATCTTTCTAGTTTCAATTGCATCATTTGACTTTTCCCTCTGGTATCCACTTTATACAGTGGTGAACTAGACCATCTGGCAACTGCCCGATGGCAGATGGGTCATTGGTTTGTATGTAAAATGGAGTGCTAGATTTATTGGATTCGAATGCCATGCTTCCGTGTATTCTTATTTTAAAACATACAATATAAAAGTTCACATGCATTCTTTCACTGATGAAAGATAATACATTTTAATGAATCCCTAGATAATAGATGGTTTTCAAATGTGCAACATTCATATGTAGATTGTAAGAACGAATTCCTAATACCCTCCAAGGAGAAAATAATCATTAGCACCTTTTCACCACAAATACTTCATCATTATTCAGTTCTGTATGGAATTTGTTTTAAATAAAGACTTCATAATATCGACTTTTCGAAAGATAGACAAAACCCAGCCTACAATTCCTTTATGTTTGGCATCAATGTTTGCATCAATTTAATTTCTTTTACACAAAAGCACATTTGAAGTGCAATTTTATCTCCATGGCTCCAAACCCTCAAGAGCGTTATATGTCAGTGAAATTTATTTGTATTATAACAAAATGTGTCAGAATCTTGCGATTAAGGTCTACGTAGTTCCAACACTGCCATATGAATTATGCATATATTCTTATTATGTGGTTTTTATCGTTAGTTTTGACCGGTGAGCTATCAGAAAATTGTGAGGAGAAAATCGAAGTTAGCTTAAACTGTTCATAACCATCAGGAAAAACATATTCTATACGACAATGACAAAATGAGAAGAAACAATCTGCAATTGGCTGGCGTTTAGTTCTTTCTTCCTTTCTTCAATATAGGATTTATAATTAGAAATAACAGGCTACTAAGGACCACGGATGTCTAAGTAGGGAACACAGATATGTAGCCAGGGACCTAGGATGTGTAGCCAATATGTAGTTCAGCTTCAATCGACCATGGAACCAATCATGCCGAATCGGAACTCACGATACATTCCTGAAATTGTTTGACTTAATGAAAATATTGGACAGTATTGGAGTAAAGTTTCCTTATTGACGTATTGGAATGGTGACCCTATGCCAGGCTGAAATAGGCACCCAGTTATAATTATATATGAAAACTACCTAAACACGGCCATGACGTAAATTTAGTGAACTTTAATCCCCACCAAGCCATATCTTAACAGTAAATATGACAGTATTATGTTCAAATTACTGCGTATATATACACGTCTCTACCGACAATCCACCTTCCTGGCTGATAGCAGCCAGTGAAGGAACAAACC